GGAGTGTGATTCACTTGTTAATTTGGGAGACAGTCATTTCTGAATCTTCTGGTGCCATCCCCAAATCTGGATGACCTCATTCCTATGGTGGGTGTGTGCTYAGGGACAGGTAACTCTGCCTGGGATGGGGAAGAAAGGTAATGTGTTTCCCCTGAGATGGCCCKAGCAGCAAGGGCTGTATTCGGAGGATAAAGTGGACACTGTTACATTTCTAGCCAGTTCCTCAAGCACCAGTTGGTGCTGGGCCATACCCAGGCAGCTAGGCTCTGGACTGTCGCCCTCTGCCCGGCCAGTGTCTGCTGGTCCTAGGCAAGCCCCAGGTGAGGCTGCCCGGGTGGCAGGCTGGCCACCTGCTGGCTCTCTGGAGGCTGCAGCCAGTTAGAGCAGCCACAGTGCAGGACAGTGAGCTGCCTGCCTCTCCCAGGGCTGTGGCTGGGACCCTGCCCCTCGCCACTCTGGCCTGTCTGCCAGGGAGGGCCTGGGGCAGGGCGACCACTCTGGAAGGTGAAGGGCCATCTTGTCCTGGTCCTGGAGACACCACAGGTCACAGGCTGGCCCAGTTGTCKGGAGTGACTCAAGGACGTGGGACCTGGGGCCGTGTCCACTGCCGTGGGCCTCCCCCAGGGTCCTCGTGTCTCAGGGCCTGATGTGCTTTCTCTGAGGCTCCAAGGGGTCTGTGCGAAGCCCCTGTGTGGGGTCCTGGACGGGGGGCCCTCTGGGCCGGCGGGCCCTGCTGAGCTGCCTYGCTCCCTGCAGACCTACATCTCCCCCAGCGCGGCCGTCTTCCAGGCCACGGAGACGGGCGGCGAGGCCGCGGCGCTGCTGAACAACATGCGCGTGTACGGCAGCTGCACGCTGGCCCTCATGGCCATGGTGGTCTTCGTGGGCGTGAAGTACGTCAACAAGCTGGCCCTGGTCTTCCTGGCCTGCGTGGTGCTCTCCATCCTGGCCATCTATGCCGGTGTCATCAAGACGGCCTTCGACCCGCCCGACATCCCGTGAGTGGGGGCCGCTGGCCATGGCCCTGGCGGGGGAGGCCCTCGGGTTCTGCAGCCTCTGCCCTCAGCCCAGGCCTCGGCTGCTCTCCAGGCGTGGCCCTGGGGGTCCCTCCTTCCCTGGAGGAAGCTGGGTGCAGCCGGTCCCTGTGCAGGGAGCGGGTCTGGGCACACCATAGGGACGGAGGCTGGTGCGGGCCCGGCTCACCACTGGTGGCCGGCAGCCCTGTGGACCACTGGGCAGCAGGCTTCTCCCGAGTCTTCCTGCACCCTCATGGAAGGCCCTCCCGTTGGGCCCTTTCCTTGTCTCCCTCGTGGATGARGAGGTGGCGGGGGGTGGCCAGTGTCAGAGAGCAAGTGGGCCTGTAGGACGGCCACCACCCATCTGTGGAGCACTGGCCCTGTGGGCTGGCCGAGTGGGGCCCAGGGCCTGGGCTGGTAGGGACTGGGGCAGGACTGGACTGGACCCTGGCACTGGGCTGGGCGGCCCCTAAGAGTCCTGAGGTGCTGCAGCTGGAGTAGGTGCTGACCCTGGTGTGTGGCCCTTGCTGCCATGCTGGCTGTGGCACATCAGAGCCTCGGGAGACTCCTGTGGTCAGCTGTGGAAGTGGTGGGATGGGGGGTCTGCCTCCCCGTGCAGGGTCTGCCTCCTCGGGAACCGCACCCTGGCAAAGCGCACCTTCGAGGCCTGTGCCAAGAYGCACGTCGTCAGCAACGGCACGGTGACCACCGCGCTCTGGAGCCTCTTCTGCAACAGCTCCAGCCCCAGCGCCTCCTGCGACGAGTACTTTGTGCAGAACAATGTCACTGAGATCCAGGGCATCCCTGGTGTGGCCAGCGGCGTCCTCCTGGGTAAGGAGGGCGGGTCCGGCCAGGGAAGGGTGCGGGTGCTCTCCTGTGGACATGGCCAGGATGGCCAGCCCTCCCCAGCTGCTGCCAGCCAGCCTGTGGGCTCCTGTGCGGCCCCCGACCCTCCCCGAGCCAAAGAAGCCACATGGGTGTTAGGCCAGCAAGTTGGCTCCAGGCTGGTGGTTGTCTGTGCCCCTGCCCCGGGGACGGGCCTGGTGTGTGGGGGACAGCATGAGCTGGCACTGGGCTGCGGCCGCCCTGCCGTGTTTGGCTGGGACTGTCTGTGTCCATGCTGGAGCCTGTGCTCAGCCCCCAGGAGGCGGCCCTCTGAACAGGCCTCGGCGGGGGCTTTGTGGGGCACAGAGGGGCAAATCTGGCCATGAAGTTCCCCGGTGGGGAGGGCCTACAGTGTATGCAGGTGGCATGAGCCTGTGCTGGCCCAGCTGGGGTCTGCCTGGGAGGTCTGCGGAGAGTGGGGTCCCTGGAGCACCTGGTCAGCACTGTGCAGGCCCTGGGTCCTCCTGCACTTAGTGGGCATGTGTGAGCTTTCCTGCTGCTGCAGTCTTGGCTCAGGTTTGGGGAGGGGGTTCCCAGATGTGGTTCCCCTGGGCATCTTCCTTTAAAGGTGACCTGGGGAGAGTGTGAGCCTTCCCAGGCCTCCATGGTGACCTCCGTGGTGGCCTGTGTGGCCCCAGGAGCCCTGACTGAGGGTTCCAGAATCTCGGAGGACGTATCCTGGCCTGACCTGTTCTTCCTGCAGATAACCTGTGGAGCGCGTACTCGGACAAGGGGGCCTTTGTGGAGAAGGAGGGCGTGCCGTCCGTGCCCGTGTCCGAGGAGAGCCGGGCCAGCGGGCTGCCGTACGTCCTCACGGACATCATGACCTACTTCACCATGCTCGTGGGCATCTACTTCCCCTCCGTGACGGGTGAGCCTCCTGTCCTCCCTGTGCTCYTCTCCCCCGCCAGCGCAGAGCCCCCAGGAACGAGCTCAGTGGCCCAAGGTGGCTGCTGGGTGTGGGCGCCCACCCGGGTCTGCACGGCCCTGCAGTGCCCTCTTGGTGCAGGCCAGCCAGGCGCGCCTGTGGGTGCGTGGACCCACGCAGCTGGGCTTCCCCACACACAGGCTGCGGTGCAGCTGTTGGTGCAGCTGGGGCAGCGTCAGGCCCTGGGTGGCTGCTCCCGGGGGTCTGGTGGGAGAGGGTTGAGGGTAGCCTGGCATGGCCAGAGCTGTCTCAGGGCCATCCCTGCAACCCTGGTGTCATCAGGCTGCAAGTCAGCCCTGGGCTCCGTCTTCTGGAGTCTGTGACCTGGGACCGAGGGTGAACCGAGGTGGCAGGATCCTGGGCATGCTGGGGACCCGCTGGCCCTGCTTTGCAGCTTGGAGGAGGTTATTGGGACCTCCGTCTCCCGCGGAGGGCAGCTGGGGTCCTCAGCCTGGCCCCTGTAGCAGCCATCCTGCGGAGTGGAGAGAGGAGGCCTGGGCCCTCTGGGCCAGCTCGTCCATAGTGCAGTGGCTCGGGTGCCTGTGGGGGCAGCTGTGGCCTGGCTGGCCCTTGYTGAGGGCCTCGGGCGTGCCTCACCAGGGCTGCCTGTCACGTCCCTCCTCCTGTCTGCCTCTGCAGGTATCATGGCAGGATCCAACCGTTCCGGGGACCTCAGGGACGCCCAGAAGTCCATCCCCACGGGGACCATCTTGGCCATCATCACCACGTCTTTTATCTGTATCCTTGAGTGGACCCTGGCCTCCCCACTTACACAGCAGCAGCCYGGGGGGCTGTCCAGGTCCGGGGGGTCCTGGCCGTGCCTCTGCCCTCCCTGGTGCTGTGGGTGCTGTGGTGCGATGCGCCCCACCAAGCGCGACAGCTGGACTCCCTCAGGGTGGCCATGTGCCACGATGTTGACCTTTGGCTTGGCAACCCACACTGTCATGTCTGACGGGACATGTGTGGCCACAGCTGATGGTGACTGGTGGGCACACTGACCCGGGTGGGCTAGGACTCCAGCCGAGGTCTGACCTCCTGCCAGGTCTCCTGCTGTTCCCCAGAGCACACACACACTGCAGGCCAAGCTCACCCTGACCCCTGGGAGCCCGACAGAGATGGAGAGGGGAGGACTGAAGACCATGGGGTCTGGGCACAGCAGTGGGTCAGGGTGTGGGGTCGGGACTCTGGGAACACTGGCCCAGGGGGCCCACTTGGAGCCTGGGATGGGCCCTGCTGGCCAGTGGGCCCCCCTCCCCCGCGGCCTGCTGTGCTGTCCCTCTGGACTGACCGACCTTGACCTGGCTRCAGATCTCTCCTGCATAGTGCTCTTTGGGGCCTGCATTGAAGGCGTGGTCTTGCGAGATAAGTGCGTTGGTTTCCACRGAGGCTTGGGCAGGCGTGTGTGGTCAGCACCCTCTTTCCTGAGGGCAGTTTCAGCTTTAAAATCAACCTTCCCAGAGCGTCTCGGCTCCACTTCTGAGCTGAGAGCCTTATGCTGGGGGTGGGCGCCCTCGGCCTGAGCGAGGCGCTAACAAGGCCCCAGCTTGGGCCCAGAGCCTGGGGAGCCGCGGGGTGCAGCCACGGTGCCTGGCGGGCTGGGGCGTGGGGGCAGGTYCAGGACGGTGAGGCGCGGCTGCTGGGTGGGGAGCAGTGAGCTGGAGCCTTGCTGGGTTGCCGACAGGAGGCTGGTGCTGCCCGGCCCGTGAGGYGTGGCCCGGCAGCGAGCGGTGCCCTCGACACCAGAAACCCTCAGGGTCCTGGTGGGGTCTCTGGTCGGGAGGGGTCTTGGGCCTGACTCTCCTCCTGAGGAGCCCCCTGCCCTTCCACCAGTCCCACTCACTTGGAGTCAGGGTCTCCGATTCGCCCTTGGGAAGCTGTACCAACTGCCCACCCTGCCTGCTCACAGGTTTGGGGAAGCCCTGCAAGGGAACCTGGTCATCGGCATGCTGGCCTGGCCGTCCCCCTGGGTCATTGTCATCGGCTCCTTCTTCTCCACCTGTGGTGCTGGCCTGCAGAGCCTGACYGGGGCGCCCCGTCTGCTGCAGGCTATCGCCCGTGATGGCATCGTCCCCTTCCTGCAGGTGAGCCCGTGGCCCAGGCTGTGGTGGGTGGACATCGGGTGCCTTGCTGAGGGAAGGGGCCCTGGGCAGGTCAGGGTCCTGTGTGTGAGGGTCCCTGGGGGTCTGCTCCCTCACCCCAACCCTAATCCTTAGGGTAAGGAGAGTAGACACGTGTTCCACCCCAGCCAGCGGTCACTCTCCCTCTGGATGCGGGGCTAAGTGTGTGGTGTGGTGGGCAGAGCAGCCCCTGCCCTCCAGGCCTGCAGATGCCTCTGAGACTTATTCTGCGAGCAGCCGTGAGGCCCATGTTGGTCCTCCTCGCCTGAGGGGGACGCTCCTGCTGTCCCACTGCACGTCAGCCAGGGCCTGGGTGTCTGGGGCCCTCCTGCAGAGCATAGGAAGTCGGTGGCATGCAGAGGAGTGACTGGGGCCACAGGGCTGCAACACACCTGCAGTCAGACCTCAAAACAGAAAGTCACGGGACAGTCAGCGGTAGTACTTGTCCAGCACGAGTGGGACCTGGGTCCGTCCTTAGTGGTCCCCGGGCCCCAGCGCACGTGCACACACAGGAGAAAAGATGGTTTTCTCTGAGCTCTGGAGGCTGACGTCTGAGCTCGAGGTGTCATGGGCTGGYTGTCTGGGCCTCTCCTTGTTGGGACTTCTTCCTGGGCCCAGGTGGTCTGTCCTGGCCTTGTGGAGGTTGGGCTTCTGGTCTTGCGTCTTTGGCGGCCCCTGCTGGCGGGCACTGGGTGGCTCACCCGAGGGAGACCTTTCCCGCCCCCAGCCCACGTGCCTCCTTCCTGCAGGTGTTCGGACATGGGAAGGCCAACGGGGAGCCCACCTGGGCCCTGCTGCTCACAACCCTCATCTGTGAAATGGGCATCCTCATTGCCTCCCTGGACAGTGTGGCCCCCATCCTGTCCATGTGAGTGGCCCGTGAGGGCACAGGGCTACCTGCATTCGGGAAGGTGCAGGAGACAGCAGGGCAGCAGGCCACAGGGTCACGTGGGTGCCKAGCTGTCTGGTCACCAAGGCTGCGTGGCTGACCGAAGGCTGCTGTGGTGGACACCAGGGCTGTGCCACACGTGGCTATCGGTGGCAGGGCGGGATGTGTCCACGAGGCCGGTCAGCTACTGGAGCTGGACTTGGGGATGAGTGAGACTCCCATGGTGGGGGGACCATGGTGTGGACCGGGGACCCCGAGGAGTGCAGTCGTGAGCAGAGTTGGACAGGGCAGCTGGTTGGGGCCACCRTGGGCTGAGTGGTCGGTGGCCCCTGTGCTGCCACCTGCTGCAGGTTCTTCCTTATGTGCTACATGTTTGTGAACCTGGCCTGCGCTGTGCAGACCCTGCTGCGAACACCCAACTGGCGTCCACGCTTCAAGTACTACCACTGGTAAGGATGCCTCCAGGCTGGCGGTGGCCTGGGCCCAGGGCCCCYGTGGCCCTGCAGAACCAGCCTGCAAAGCCCAGAGCCTGTGGCCTGTCTGCCTCCATGCTCTTTGTCCACCCCAGGACACATGTGGGCCCCTTGGGCCCACCTGTGGTCAGCCTGGACTGGGAGGGCCCGACAGGCAGGTGGCCAGCATGTTTTCCTAGCACAGATGAAGGGTCATAAAGGGAAGGGCAGTTCCTGTGGGCAGCGGCACCTGAGCTGTGTGCCCCCCAGGACGCTGTCCTTCCTCGGCATGAGCCTGTGCCTGGCCCTGATGTTCATCTGCTCCTGGTACTATGCCCTCTTCGCCATGCTCATCGCCGGCTGCATCTACAAGTACATCGAGTACCGCGGGTGAGTGGCGCCCCGCGCAGCTGTGACCTGCCTCTGTGGCTTCCCTGTCCCTGTCCAAAGTCCTGGAACCAGCCTGGCACAGAGTGGGCTGCCTGAGAAAGTGAGGTAGCCTCCGTGGCCCCACGTGGTGACCTTCTTCCTCTTGAACTCTGACCTGTTGTAGTCAGGTCCCGCCCCTTCTGTACCTTGGCTCCTGGCCCCCTGGGCTTTCCCAGGAGACCCAGCCTGTTGGATGGCCCACCTGGCCCTGATGGAGGTGGGTGCCAGGGCAGAATTGTCCTCCCTTTCTTTCCTGGCAGCTGGACAGGGGCTGGGGTCCCTGGCCAGCTCTGCCCAAGGTCACTGTCTGCTCTTCAGAGCACCATTTCCTTCACTTGAACTGCCCTCTGTCCCTGATGGCACTGTTGGTCAGTCCCACGCAGGGGGCTGGTCCCTGCTGCTTCCGCCTCCCTGTTCCCCCAGGGTCCCCATGTCCCTGTCTGCCTCCGAGAGCCTCTGTTAACTAGGGTCGCAGAGACCCCACGGGTGCCCTGCCAGAGGCACTGYTGGGCCCAGCACCCGCTCTGCCCACAGGGCTGAGAAGGAGTGGGGAGACGGCATCAGGGGCCTGTCCCTGAACGCTGCCCGCTACGCCCTACTGCGCCTGGAGCACGGGCCACCCCACACCAAGAACTGGAGGTGAGTGGGCCCCGCCCTGGGCAGAGAGGAGGGGGGACAGAGAGGAACGGGGACAGAGAGGAGCGGGGACAGAG